CCTAATGCGATCAGAAGTCATATGTTTTGATATAGCCGAGCAATCTTTTTGTTGAAGTGGGTTGGCCTCGTCCCAACTCGGTCTTGTTGTCAGGGCGACTTAGTGAAACACACCTAGTCCGAAGTCATCTGCCATAGTAGTTGTCATACCATATCAGAGGCCACAATATCTTGGTCTTCATTTCTTCAATCATTTTGTTGTTGGATCGTCGGAGGAATATTGAGAAATCCCAGGATATTTCACGATGTCTGCTCGGACCGGCATCATTCCATCATAACAAGTTTGCGCATCGAATTTAAATCTTGTCTTTGTTGTACTCATCATTAAACATATTTTCTTTCCCTCAAAATTTCTCGCTTTTCATATACTTCATGTATTTTTGAAAGCGAGACTGGTCCTATCTAGAAAAAAGAGTGGCTTTATTTCTTCATTGCAACTTGATCGTATTATCATTGACCTGTTTGAGCACACCTTTTCTCAAATCCTCTTGCATAGCAGTAATAACTTCTACTATCTGAACATCGAATCAGAAGCGTGATACTGGTATATTTGACATAATTTATAAGTCAGCTTATATGGCTTACTTGATTTCATTTTGTTATTAGTACAGTGTACGACTTTTGTTTTTGAGTCAGCAGAGTGAAGGACAAGTATCTTATGTCCTTAATACAATTCATTTATTATACAGCTAACTCAAGGTAACGAAATCCTCTTTCGACTTATTTCTGCTAAAATTTTGTACTGGTTGAGAACCGTTTAGCATTTTGCTACTTACTGAAATTTTAATTTAATAATTACTGGTAAAATTGTGATGATTAGCTTAAGGTGGTTGAATAAATTGTTCTTGATTTTTTGTTTGCTTGCGAGCACGCAATGAAATATACGATAAAATTTTCCTTAGAGGTCTCTATTCACTATAATCGCAATGTTAGGAAATACAAACTTAAAAAATTTGATTCGTAAGTATCCTACCTCATATCTATGTAATTTGATGACTTTTTGTTTTTGTTTTTACAGTCTTTCCATGCACTGGCATTTGTCTCGCAAGACTGGTGAGATGCTGAGGATAATGGATAGGGGTACTTCAAGCGTTTCTTCCGTGCTAAATTATCTAATCTTCAATATACTTCCTACTTTGATCGACATTCTTATTGGTGTCATATTCTTCCTGACTGCATTCAATATTTGGTACGCTCTCCTGGTCTTCACAACCATGCTAATGTACACAGGTGAGATTTGCTTATACTAAGTTCTGTTATTAATTGGCTTAGGCTAGCTCACATTCTTTTAGGATCTTTCCAAACTTGGCCAGATTACTGTCAATTTACGGCAGGTTTTCTTAAAGTTACCCGACTCGCAACTTTGCCACCTGCGATTAGTTGCCTATATTTTTTGGAACTATTTTAATTCAATTTACAGCTTTTAGTCGTGCTCTTTGCTAAACTTTTTATCTCCTGATCCCAAAGTGCCTCTTCGATCTTTGGGACTACACGCTTTTTTTATTTCTCCGGCATTAGGCAAGGGCCAGTCATCAGATCAACATATGGATGCGTCTCTGGAAGTAAAGGACTTGGTATGTCACAGTACGAGAAAAAATTCTGAATTATCAATATCCTCGCTTGTTTCGTTGTTAGGTCACGC